GCTCTTCAGCGAATGGATCTCAACTGTAATTCATTCCTGAGTTCTTGAATATTTTTCTGTACCTCCATGAGCATGTTAATGATTTTTATTTTGAACTCAGGAGTATTCATGAGGTCAATGTCATTTAAATCTTCCTCAGCAGTTGTATTAATAATTTTACTTTGAACTAGGCTCCTTTGGCTTTTCATATTTGTATATGGTACCCTTTGGTGCCCTAAAGCACTACTCTCTGGAGCTGCTCCACCCCTGAAGCAATGTTGGGGGTCACAGGGGAGCAGTACTGGTGCCTGGGGGTAGGAAACAGCTGTTTCCTGCATCCCGACTGCTACGCCTCTCTCCACTGCCTGAACCAGTGGGCCAAGCACACAGGTATAAGCCTCTATGCTTTGCGTTTGTAGTTCCTGTAGACAAATCTTCCCTCTGGCTATCCTAATGCAAGGATAGGGTTTGCCGGTTTGTGAGCCAGATGGGGCTGGCCAGGAGAAAGGCACAGTAGGCTGCCTGTCACGGAGGGGGTCCTTGGAGCTGTGTAGCCAGCCAGGGAGCTGGAGCACCGGGAAATCATTAAAGCTCCCAGCCTTCTGGGCAGAGTGCACCTGGACAATTTTGCCTACCTGTCCTTTCTCCTGAGCAGTAAGCTCTGTGCAATCCTTGCCCCTTTAACAGCCCTCTTGCTAAGGGCCTCCTTGTTAGGAAGTCTCTCAGACTGCCTGCCTTTCTTTTGTCCCAGAGCAGCTGGATATGGATCCCTGCTTTCCATAAGCAGCTAGAATCTCAATCTCTCCAGGAATTCTGCCTCTCTTAGCCTTCCAACCTCCTAAATCACGAGAGTACCATGCAAGCACCATGAAATGTAGGTTTGTGCTCCCAGAGCAGATCTCTCGAGTTAGGTGTTCAGCAGTCCCAGGCCTTCACTCCCTCCCTGCTCCGTTTCTCTTCCTCCCACTGATGAGCTGGGTGGGGAAAGGGCTTGGGTCCTGCCGGGCCACAGCTTTGGTACGTTACCCTGTTCCATGAGGTCTGCTCTTTTCTCCAGGTGTATGCAGTTTGGCACAGTCCTCTGTCCTCTTTTCTGTTGCTCTTTCAGGACAAGTTGTATTACTTATATTTTCACATTATATGAGGTTTTAGGAGGAAGCCTCTTTCTCACCTCTCATGCCACCATCTTTAATCTTTCTCTCCCTTCCAAGCTATTCTTAATGATGAAGAACATTCTATTTTTGAAAGACTACATCACTAGATGGCTCTAAGTAGTTAAAACTCACTTCCTTTTATTGAGATGAAAATCACCTCTTTACAGTTTGACTTACTAGTTCTGTTATGCCTTCTGTTCACCAAAAACAAAATCAAACTAATATATACACTAATACTCACTTCCATATATACAGCTCTTCAAGTAGTTGAAGAGAAGCTGTCATGAATACCACTCCCCCAATTCTTGTGTCCAAACCCACAATTTAATCAGTCATCTTAGGACATGGAATGGAACCTCTTCCCATCTTTGTTACTATTCTTTAAATGAATCCAAATTTGTCTAAATAAATCCTTCTTGAAGTACTGCCTCAAAATTCAACTCAGTAATTCAGATATGGCCTGAAAAGCCAGAACACCATAACATAATGAATTTACCAAGTTGCTGACAAAACTAATACATTCCATTCCTTCCTACCCCTATCCCCATCCTTGTGATATGTTATATCTTAAGCTCCATTTCTTATTACTCATGACTCTCAAGCTGTCACTGTGGACATCTGAGGGCATAAACAGTCTTCATGCTCCTTCCTGTGAATCCTTTTTTCTGAATCATACCTGGTTATCCCCCAAAGTCTGTGAGTCCCAATTCAGTTTAAGGTCTTCACAAGCTCAGTTAGCTCAGGGCAATCGACACTCTTCCCAGGCCTCTTAAGTAAATGCTTCAACCCTTCCAAAGGCCCTTCTTTCTGGTATCAGGAGCCATGGTCCAGAAACACAAATCCAACAGAATTTCAGCCATTTACCTCCCAGATCATCCCCTCCCTGAAGTTCTACCTAGAGGAGGAAAATATAATGAAAACACTATCTGCAGTCACAGGTCCTTCAGTTTCCTTGTTAAGAGTTCATATTCCCTTAAAGATGGCCTCTCAGGGAGGAAGCGAGAAGGGAGGGGTCCACAGGGGCTTTCAAAGACAGTAATAAAGTTCCATTTCTTAGCTTAGTATTCAGTACACGGGCATGTGACTTAATATGAATTAGATATTTCGGGTTAAAAATACTTTGCATATGCATTTAAAAAAATACCTCCCTGGTTTTCACAATATGAATCTGACAAGGGGTTAACATCCAAAATATATAAAGAACTTATATGCCTCAACACCCAAAAAGCAATTAACCCGACTAACAAATGGGCAGATGATATGAAGAGATAGTTCTCCAAAGAAGATATTCAGATGGTCAACAGCCACATGAAAAGATGCTCCACATCACTAATCATCGGGGAAATGCAAATTAAAACCACACTGAGATAGCACCTCACACCAGTAAGGACAGCCAGCATCGAAAAGACTAAGAACAACATGTGCTGGCGAGGATGCCGAGAAAGGGGAACCCTCCTACACTGCTGGTGGGAATGTAAGCTAGTTCAACCATTGTGGAAAGCAGTATGGAGGCTCCTCAAAAAACTAAAAATAGAAATACCATTTGACCTGTGAATCTCACTCCTTGGAATTTACCCAAAGAATACAACTTCTCAGACTCAAAAAGACATATGCACCCCTGTTTTTCACAGCACTATTTACAATAGCCAAGATATGGAAGCAACCTAAGTGTCCATCAGTAGATGAATGGATAAAGAAGATGTGGTACATACACACAATAGAATATTATTCAGTCATAAGAAACAAACAAATCCTACCAGTTGCAACAACATGGATGGAGCTGGAGGACATTATGCTCAGTGAAATAAGCCAGGGGGAGAAATGCAAGTGCCAAATGATTTCCCCCATTTGTGGAGTATAATAATGAAGCAAAACTGAAGGAACAAAACAGCAGCAAACTCACAGACTCCAAGAAGGGACTAGTGGTTATCAAAGGGGAGGGGTGTGGGAGGGCAGGTAGGGTAGGAGGGAGAAGGGGATTGAGGGGTATTATGTTTAGTCCACATGGTGTGGGGGATCACCGGGAAAACAGTGTAGCACAGAGAAGGCAAATAGTCAATCTGTGGCATCTACTACACTGATGGACAATGACTGCATTGGGGTGTGGGTGGGGACTTGATAATATGGGTAAATGTAGTAACCACATTGTTTTTTCATAAGAGTGTATATCAATTATACCTTAATAAAAAAAATAACAAAACTGAGAGAAAATACTGACATTTGACATTTGAGCTATTTGAAAAAATATCTTAATGAGGATATATACCCAAACTAGGGCATACATTCACAAAAGCAGCTTTCAGAAAATCATTTTATTCCAAGTACAATGGATGTATTCATGTCTTTGTTGTCTTTCTTCAAAACATCTCATGTCCATCTAGTCCCACCTATGCCTACCACCACCACCCTTCATTACCCTTTGCCCAGATTAAAATCAAAGCCCCCAACTGGACTCTAAGAAATGTACTCTAGCCTATAGAAACTCTACTCTGATGCTGAAGGTGTAATAATTGTTTTAATAAAATAAAAAGCCTAACAGATCAATTATGTCTATGCCTGAAAACCTCTACTGGCTCTTTACCACATAAACATATAATCCCAGAATCTTAATCATGATCTCCAAAGCCCAATAGCCTTCATCACAGATCTCTCCCCAGAAAGACTGCAGACTCTTGAAGAACAGGTATTATATTGAGATGCCTCCAATGTCCTCAAACCTTCCATAGCACCTAATGCACTGAAGTCTACCTAACTGAAATGGAAAAATATATATAAAAGCAAGACAATTATTGCATAAATTTTTCTTCTCAATTTAAAAGAACAGGTCAAAAGAAGCTCCACATAATTCAAATGTAACTCCTTAGAAACACTTTCTAGTTTTTTTGAAACATTTAAAACTACTACATTTATCCAGATTCCATATTAAATCATTACATTTTATCTATATTCCACTGCTATTCTTCTTTAAACCTAGCATCTTTTAAAAAACGTTATTAGATATAATGCATAAATTCAGCACATAAAATAAAAAGGTACACCATCACAAAGTATTGTAAAATATATGTGTCCATGTAACCATCACCCTGGTGAAGAAATAGACTATAGCCAGTATGAAAGAAGACCCCAGATGTCCCTTTCAGTTCACAACTGTGTCCCTTTTACCTATTCATACTCACTATCCTTAAATATGTAATAACCACATCTTTGTTTATATGTAATAACCACATCTTTGTTTTTCTTGATAGTTTTATTGCCCAAGTATGAATCCATAAATCAGTGTTTCTCAGCTTTCTTTTCATTTTCACCCTACTAAGAAGCCTTTTTATAAAATTTTTTTTCCTTATCGCCTCCATGAAATTTTACGACCACAGATATGTATTTATGTTATCTATTTATTATATACTATGGCCCCTTGACTACTGTGATATAAGATTTTTTTCACTCCAAGGACCAATTTTCACCCCATTGGGGGGTGATGCTGCCTACACTGGGAATGCATGCCCTAAACAATGTAATTTAGTTTTACCTATTTTTGAACTCTATATGAATGAAATAAAGCAGAACATGTTTTGTTTAAGATTCCTCCATCTTGTTGCACACTGCTTTATCACGTTTTATCACTACCACAGTTCTCCATTCTATTAGAACAGACCCTTGGGTTATTTTCTCTTTGGGCCTATTATAAGCAATGCTGCTCTGAACATCCTTGTATGTATGTCTCCTGGTGCACATAAGTACTCATTCTTGCATGATATATACCTAGGAGGAGAATTTCTGAACCACAAGGTATAAGTATCTTCTATTTTACCAATTCATAAAACTTGTTTTCCAAAGCAACTATACAGAATTCCCTTAAAATTTTCTTACCTTAAATGAGAAGTTAAGCAAAATATATTCTATGCCTTCTTTTTCTTTTAAGATCTGAAGATCACTGTGCAAAGGACTATCAGGATCAACCCTAAAGAATTACAAAACAAAAAA